TCTGTATAGTTGGCATGATTGGAGGATGGTCTTGGGTTGCACTATAGGATATGCTATCCCACTTGTCGGGCAACAGTGATGTTGGATGTATTTATAAATTTTCATGATAAGATTTTAGTAAGGATACATGAAATATAAGGTCTATACATGAATTGGTGGCAACTCGATCGTGTATGCGATGACTTTGTTACACTCTTTTAGATTAACAAGTTCATAATATCTTTTTTTGACTTTAGGGTAGTTGGTGTGGGAGACAGATTTAAGATAAGGGTGGAGCTTGATGAGGACTCACTTTTGAACTTAGTATTTGATATCATGAATTCATGATAATGCTTGTTGGCATGTTGCTCTATGTAGTGTTGAGCTTGATGCAAGTTATTGAGACTTTAAAACGCAACATCTAGTTGTTGTAGCTAGTCATACACGATTTCTATTACTAAGGACTTTGTGATGTATGGTTGAATTGTTGGGGGTGCATGGGCATAAAGTGCTTGGAAGGGCATAATGCCAATAGAAGAGTGGAAGATGTTATATTATAGATCGCCCATGACATTTAATGAGTAATATTTTGGATTGTCCTTGACATAACAACAGAGGTATTGTTCTAGACGCTGATTGGTAACATCTATTTGGCATTCTATCTTGAGATGGTGAGCATTGCTGTATTGCAGTTGTTTGCTAGCTCCTTTAATAATTCATGCTAGAATTGGCTCATAAATATTCGATCACAATCTGATATGTTAGCTTTAAGGATCCCTTGGATTCAAAAAAATTTTCAGAGATGAAGGAGCTTGCAATTGTGACTGTTGATAATTGTGGAGGCAATGTTGTGATTTGTGCATATTTGGTGAGACAATCCACAACTGTCGTTATGGTGGTTTTCCTTTGGACTATGGTAATGAAATCTATCATTGGGTTGTCACACGCTTCTTAAGGTATTAGCAGGGGTTGTAGCATCATGATGGGTGCCAATGGTTGCTATTTAGTTGTTTGGCATACTGGGAAGCTTGGAATGAATGTTGCAACATCTTATTTGTGGTTACTTTGGCAGTAATGTGCTCTTACTCAGTGAAATGTCTTTTTTTATCCACCATGGCCACTGACAGGGTTTGAATGGTGTTCTAATATATATTTTTTGAGAGTTTTAAGTGTTAGCTAGCACTAAGCATCTCTATTTTCATGTTAATTTGTTGACAGCAAATATAGGACAATTTATTGGACATGTGATGATATTTTGTCTTAGTTGTAATGCTTTGAAGGCAGTTGCAGATTTCAACTGCTCTAGGAGTTTATGTATTGGTGCTTAGAGTAACAAGGAGTGTACTGTAACATGTTCTGTCTTGTGACTTTTTGCTCATATTTTTGTAGGGGCGTCAATTACTTCGTTGGTGAAATCATATCCCAGTAATTTCATTAGGAAACACTATTGTTCCAGAGTTTGAACCACTTGGTTCATAATTTCGTGGATGCTTTTTTAATCAATTTTTATGGTTAAATGTGAGCCGAGCGAGTAGTTTCCCATTTTGTACCACTTCCATGATTGCATATAACTCGCACACATATGTTGATGCTTATTGCATTTTAAAATTTAATTTTCTGTTGTAGTTTGCTATTTGTTTATCGTCTTGATAGAGTGCAACACCAATACCAATCCCTAAAACATTTGTGTCTATGATAAAATGGTTGATGAAATTTGGTAAGATTAGCACTAGTCACAAGTGAGTTTGGAAGAAGTTGCTTTAGGTCTGTAAATGCTTGTTTAGCTAGTGCAGTTCATGTAGCATCCTTTTGATGCATGGTTATTAGTAGGCATGCTCGAGGAAACCTCGTAACACTTTGAGTGTTCTGCGTAGATGCCAATTGCTAATTACACAAATCTTATTAGGATTTGGACTCAATCTGACTCAGTCACTGCGTGGCCCAAATATTCAAACTGTGATTGACTAGAGAGGAATTTGGAGCGTGTGAGGGAAAATTGATTTTGTGTAGGTAGCTATAAAACATGATAGAAGTGGTGAATTCGACAGCGGATAATGTGTTGTACATAATTAGTCTCCAAAAAAGCCTTATGAATTTTCTTGAAAATGATTTTAGCATATTGTTTATGATTACTTGGAAGGTGGAAGGAATGTTTGATAGACCAAACAGCATGTCATTCTTTCCCATTTGAGTTTGGCGGTGACTGGTGCACAAATGCTGTTTTGAATGGATGATAACCCTGCAAAACACGACTAGTATTTCATAAACAGCTGGTATTGAAAAGCAATTGGGTATTAGCGTTATTTAATGCAGATAGTCCATAAAAAAATACCTTGTGCCATCCTTTTTGTTTTTTTTTTTGACAAGTAGGAACCAATGACGAATATGGGCTAGTGTTTGGTTTGAATCAATCCGGATTGTAACATCAAATTCAAAGAGAATAGGCAGAGCACCCAATGGTAGGGCTTTTAACAAGGGCACCAAATGAGAGTGGGTAGATGACAATTCAATGATTTGCTAATAACACTTGCTGAAATAGATAGAAAATAGAGGATAACGGGGAAGAATGGAGGTTAGAGAACGAAGTGCATGATAATTTTCATTTATTTCTAAAATCAATATTGTAGCTATCATATGCACAAGTTCATCTCATGATTACTAGGGCAGAACTTTTTGTCATATTGTGCTATGTGTCATCACCTTTAACAACCTCTAAACAATCCACCCATTCAAACCAAGACACCTATTTCGATGTTAACTAACTCAAGGAATTAAGCATGCGTTCCTTTTAGCAACCTAAATAAATACGACTTAGTTGCTCTGCTTCTAAATGATAATCCTTGAGTTATATGATGGCTTTTGAGCGGACTGTGGCTGAATGATCTCTTCTTGCAGGTCTTTATCGAGATTGGCCATATCAGGGAGTGTTAGCATAGGAAAATTGTTTCAGGAAACTATTCTTTAGTTGATCTCCATTTAAAATATAAAAAAAACCTATGTCCCCTGCTAAAATTCCGTCGACTGCTACAGTATCCCATCCCGCAATCCTACAAACAGTGTCGAATACAGTCGCCCATCCCCGCATGCGTAAATCCGCTTCAATCTCTCCCTCCCAGTCGCGCCGATAAAGCGAGAAACGAACAAAGTATTCAGTTCTCTTCTCCCGCTCCAGCTCTCTCTTGTTTCCTCTCAGCCGAACCTTCTGATTCCCTCCCCACAGCTGAACTAGATCCCGCAGCTCTCACGACTGAGCAAGCCCACGCAGACCCAAGGTCTCTAGCCTTCCTCCTGTGCAGCCGAACCACCCGTTCGATTAGGCCTCCCATCCGTCGACCAGGCCGCATGGCCTCCTTCCAATCCGACTCCACAACACTGATCTACCAATCCCTTCCCAGCTCTAATCTCATTTCTTTCCTCAAGCAAGGCTCCTCACTGGGCCGATCTCCCTCTTTTTGCACTCGAACCAAACTGTACCAAGCTCGACCCTAGCAACAACTGGCCCCAACTCAGCTGCAAATTGTGGCCGAAACCTCCTAATCCCAATTTCTACGGTTCGGACCATCCAGGACTCCCGACGTCAACGTCTGTAGCTCCTGCCAACTTTCCCCGCACGTTTGTAGGTAGAATCCGACGCCTGCAAGCCATTACAACCTTCCGTTCCTACGCCCACGAGTTCTCTATCTTTTGATCCCAGCACCCACCTCCCTTTCTTGTTTGAACACATGTGCAACTTCCTTGCTGAAGTCGAATCCCTCTGCTTAAACCAATCACTCTACCTTAATCCTTCATAAGTCTACAAGGCATCTCATGATTACTTGGAAATGAGATAAATATCCTTCATAAGTCTACAGGGTACCCTTGGACGAAGCAACCATGGCTGTTGACAAGGATCCTTCTTTCAGGTTGGGTTAACTACCTCCTCTAACTATGTTAGTTATGGACCATGATGACTCGGGACAACAAAACCATGGGATCTTGATTGGGTCCATCATCACTCCTCCCACCGTCTTCTTTAAGTACGAAGTGGTGAATTTTTAATTTTAAATATTAAATTTTCAAATACCTAAACCCTGTTGCTACTATACGTCAAATAATATGTATCTATTTGACGACTAGCCTTAATTGAAAGGTCTCTCTCGCCATCGGGAGGGGTAATTAACTACAGGGGCTTGCGCCTATAGGAAACATGAACTCAGGTCATAAAGTTCTCGTAAAATGAGGGCGAAATCTCTGGGTAATGTCTTATTCACAACCCAATCTGCCTTCTAAAAATTTGCCTCGGAACTTAAGCGTTAAACTCTCCTCGACGACCAAAAAAAAAAGAAAGGGGTCGTGGAGACGATGGGGCGCGAATTTTCGGAGCCCACAACTTTATATAGTTGAGTGTTTATTTTGTTGTGTTTTGGCATATTTTATTGACTCTATTGAATTATATATATATATATATATATAGCGAAATAGATTTATTTTCTAACAAATCCATCTTTAGAGCTTCACTGATATAATTATGAAGAGGACATAAAATTCATTTTGCTTTTCTTCATAATTATCCAATCTTATTCTTTCTTTTCTAGATTTTCTCTCTAATATCGTTGGTAAAAGATTCCAATCTCTATTTGATCATGAAGGACAATTTGAGTTTATTGACCTTAATAACTGATACCATGCCTCTAACAAGTAACTTCGAATTTTTATAGATAACACGTTTGCATCATTCTTTTTTTATTATTAGCGTAGTAATATAATCAACATTGAACTTGACGATGCAAAACTAAATTATTACTATACATTGAAAATTCATTATTGCTTCATAAACTCATTTAAATACATTCCTTATATGACATGAGTAAGTATCAAATTGCTTCTTTTACCATGTTTATGGCTGTCAACTTTTTTGACTGTATCTGACTGAGCATTACTTCGATTAAAAATATTTCTGAGTTGATAATTTCACTTATAGCTGGATTACTTGGAGTCTGACTTTGTTTACGACCCCACTTAATATCAAGTTTAATTTACAGTCTTATTTCTCGAGCGCGGAAGACTGTTCTTGGTTCTGCAGATGATATTGGATGGCTTCAGCGTGCTCCTGGCATGCCTCCTGTAGAAGATGGAACTAAACGATTTATTGAGTTGCTTGAAAATATCAGGTTAATCCATATGCTATATGAATTAAATCTTCATAGGAAAGAAAAAATGTGTCACATTTTTAATGTTATTTTTTATTATGGCAGCTTATAAGTTATCATCATCATCATCATCATCATCATCATCAATTTATATTAATCTTGCTATCTTATCTCAGAAACGATGAACATAAGTTGCCAGATTCTTTGGTTTATTTGTTAGTTCCAGGTAGAATACTTTCAACTTAAACTTCCACAACAGTATTTGATTTTTTTCTGTCAATTCCTTGATTTATATATTTTCTTTGGCAGGTCTGTTTAGTAATCATGGCCCACTGTATTTTGTTAATACAAAAACATGTTTTTCAAAGATGGGGCTGACTTGTCATATTGCTAAGATTCATAGTGAGGTATCTGAGTGGATAATTTTGTTTCCCTTTATTTCACTAAATTAATTCTTGCTATTACCGCAACATTGAATTTTTAGGCTTCAATTGATAAAAATGCCAGAGAGATCAAGGAGTATATTGAAGAAATATACTGGGGGTCGAAGAAACGCATATTGCTTCTTGGACATAGCAAAGGTGGGGTTGACTCTGCTGCTGCGTTATCTCTGTACTGGCCTGATCTGAAAGATAAGGTCGCTGGATTAGCCTTGGCTCAGAGTCCCTATGGAGGTAGCCCAATTGCTTCAGATATTTTGAGAGAAGGCCAGCTTGGAGATTATGTCCAATTGAGAAAAATCATGCAAGTTTTGATATGCAAAGTCCTTAAGGTATTATTTTTTGCTTTGTGTTAGCATAATTTGCAGTTTTGTTCTGAAGTGGATAATAAGCAATCTCTTTCTAAATATTGAAAGGGTATTTTTTTTTTTTATTTTTTTGTGATATACGGCCATGAACTCATTTTTAAGTGAATCAGCTGCGCTTTTAGAGCATTATGAGTTCTGGCATTGAGATTTATGGACAGGAAGAAAAGAAAAATAAAAAACAAATTGTCTGTGCACGCAATGTCGGGAAAAAGTGAATTGTTTTGTTAGAATAGATTTCAAAATAATTGAATTTATTATGAGATGAGTGCAATAGGAGATTTGATTGATATCCATGTATTATACTCTTATGGGCTGTTTGGTAGCACCCAAGATTTCATTTAAGTAGGATTTCGTAAATCCTCTAAATCCGGATTTGGGAAATCTTGGGGGGTTAAATCCTGAAAACTATTTGATAACATTTATGATAAATTCTGTTATATCTGGTGTGACTGTTTGACTATTATGAATAGGCGAGGGTGAGGAGATGAGGTGAACAACGCGGCTTTCGTTTAAATCTGCCGAACGAGAGGATTTCGGAAATCCAGGATTTATCACGAAAAGGCGGAATTTTCCGTCAAACGCGGCTTTCATTTGCCGTGAGATTTGGTTTTGCATTTTAGGCCGTTTGGCTGGATTTTACTCAAATCCGCCTCAAATCTGGCCTAAATCCTGCTACCAAACAACCGCTTGTTAAAATAAATTCATCAAAATATTATTCTGGATATTTTAATCCAACTTTTTTTATTGCACTATTCTCATGTCATTTATGCTCTTACAAGAAAATTTAGGCGAGGATGTCCTGACTCAAATTTGATTAGAATGAATTTACTTTTCCTTGATTTTCTTATTTCTACATTTAATCTTCAAATTATAGTGTAATGCCATTTCCAGTGATCTTCTATTTGTTCATATTTTGATCACTCTTTCCTGCTTCATTTCGAAAATTCTTTTTACAATTCTCTTCACACGCTGCCTGGATCTTTTATTCCCTTGAATTATTTGCATTTGTCAATGCTTAGAAATTTCTCATGTCAGGGAGATCTACAAGCATTAGAAGACTTAACATACGAAAAAAGGCGGGAATTCTTGCGCAAACATCCATTGCCTCGCGATCTTCCTGTCGTCTCCTTCCACACCGAAGCCGGCTTAGGACCCAGCGTCCTTGCCTCCTTATCTCAAGTGGCCCATGCCGAGCTACCCATCATCGGCGATGGTCCATCCACAAAGGTGCCGGTCGTCATGCCGCTCTCAGCCGCAATGGCTGCCTGCGCCCAACTTCTTCAAGTCAGGTATGGGGAGAAGAGCGACGGCCTCGTCACAAGGAGAGATGCCGAGGTTCCGGGCTCCGTCGTCGTCCGACCGGAGCGGAAACTGGATCATGCATGGATGGTATACTCTACACTCAACGACAGCCCGGGCGAAGCTGATGCTTCTCAGGTCTGTGAGGCTCTGCTCACATTGCTTGTGGAGGTTGGGCAGAAGAGAAGGCATGTAATTACCATGAAAGATGAGTGAGATTTGCAGACTTTTACTTATTTTTAGGCGCTGCTTACATACGGTTTGCGTTAGAATTTGAGGTTTAGAAATGTATTCCTTTTCCTTGGTGCTGCTATTAACGGTGTTGTATTTGCAACGTGTGTTTGGGGAACTTTTATTACATCTTGTGAACGTACGCTCCTCTACGTTCGGTTTAGGCAAAAAAGTGCATGTACCGAGTTTTTTCAAAAAACTCGGTACAACTCGGTACTTGGCACATGCGCTTTTTTTTGCCTAAACCGAAGGTACGTTCACTGGATAAAATAAAAGTTCGTGTTTGGGATGTCATTTTTATTATTTTTTAAAGCTGTTTTCCAGTAAAAATTTACTTTTTAAGCAGCATTAAAAAAGCCGTCAAATTTCATATTGATGCTTATTTTACTTATAAAGTTCGGGCTTAGCGTAAACATTACTTGATTTTTAAATTTTGTTTAAATTTATTTATTTATTTTCTTAATTTGTGCGTGCTATTCGAGCTTAATTAATGGATATGGTAAACTAGGGTTTTTTAGAAGATGGTTGTTTATTATTGAACACAAATTTATTTAAAATTTTTTATTGAACTAAGCATTTAGTGGGGTTCAAATCTTAATTAAAAAAAATAAAATTATGATGTATATATTTACCTATTTTTTGAATGTATTTATGATATTAATAGCTTCAAGATAATACAAAAGATTGGTACTAGTATAAGAAAATATATAAAATTTCGTTTGGGACAATTTTTATACTGCTTTTAAAAAATAGAGTTTTAATAAAAAAAAATGTATTAAAATTTTATTTAATAAAGCAGTAACGAAGTTGTACCAATTGAAGATTAAATCCTAACATACTAATTAAATAACTAAGAAGATGCTCATATATTTAAATAAATGAAAGATTAATGTTTGAATTTGTTTATTCATATATCTACTTGTAGGTCAAGTTGCACATCATAATCAAGCTTATAATGGTTATTAAAAGAATTGCTTTATGTAGTATCTAAATTAATAACACTCTTTTGTAAATTTTTTTTATAAAACAGTCAGTTTAGGGTGTCATCTAACAACCTGGTTACTTAAGCTGCCAACTTAAGGTCTCATTTTATTGTCGCAAATGTTAATCCTTCGAAAAATGGGCCTTAATGTTATGGGTATCTTGTTCGAGTTGGTTAATTAGAAGGTGATGATGTCTTTTTCTCTGTGCGATTCTGGTTCTTTCCCCTTCTGCCATTTTTATGATTGTTGCTAGCGAGGTCATAATTGTGTTGAGGCTGTGATACCTAGTTAATCCTACTAGTAGTCATATGCTTGTCTTAAAGATTAAGTCATGCATGTTACGTATGAACTATTTCAAATTGTAAAATTGTAAATGACTCATTAAATTAATCATAGCTTGATTGATGTTACTTGCTACTCGGATAACCATAGTAATTTTAGAGCCAATAGATGCACCAAAATCTTGACTTTTTAGGCAAAAGATCGAGCCAATAGATGCACCGAAACACTAGCTTTTAGAAGGGATATATTTATTGCTTCTAGTTTTATTTTTATAAAGCTTCAACAAATGGTAGAATTATTACGTGCGGTCACTGGGCGCAGTTCGGAGGCGAATAAGAACTCGCTAAGTCACATTTTTTACTGTGTACTAGTGACGTGGCACATCCTGATTCGACTCTGAACTATCCGGCGACCTGTCGCTGTCACTGATAAATGAAAAAATCAATTCTAAGCCATTGGGCCATTTCTAACATTACGTGCAAAAAAAAAAAAAAAAATTTCATATAAAAATTACCAGTTTGATTTAAAAAAATGTTGCATTTGCTCTCCAAATAATTATATTTAATTCAATTATTTCAAGCCCCAGCTTTTTTAGAACAATATAACTTCCAATTCGACTGGATCGAAAACAGTAAAAGTAAACAGTAAGGTTGACAGCAGGGATCATCATTTACAACAGTGGAGCACAAATCCGTTTCCTTCTCCTCACGGAATAGCAACGTTTTCAGAGTCCTGCAAGGCAAACCAAAGTCACCAAAGTCAGAAAGAGAGAGAGACAGAGCTGATCCAAGTGACCTGCAGGGCAAGACAAGACACGCAATATACAGCCAGCTGCAGAAGGGAATTTCTTTTTAGAAGATATCAAATAGTAAGGAAAACGTGCTCTCATTTAATCTTTGCCTTTTCTCATCTCACCATTAGAAAACTTATTATTGAGCAGCCCATCTGAATCTGTTGGTTAGGAGCTTAGGCTATCAACTAAAAAGTTTTGTTTTCGAAGTTTGAATATATGATGTATGTGAGAATTTATATTTAATCTGCTCAAAAGTCTTACATTTTTTTATTAATTATGATATTGTTATATCGGGCTTCCTTAAAATTTTACGAGATTTAAAGATGTAAGATCTAATTAGATTTAGAGTGGCATATTTGCGGTACATTTAATCATTTCTTTAGTTCTAGATTTGAGGCTAGAATCATCGCTCCGATGTTTTCGTTGTCATTGTTGAGGGAAAAATTTCATTTTTTTGGAGATTATAAGACCTATATGTAGTTAATAGCGCTCTTTCATATGCTCAACTATTATGTGTGACATGTATGCTTGCTCTTCATGCTTTCTCTCTTTTTCTCTAATCTTTCCTATTTCTTGTGCTTGATAGTGCCTGTCTCTACATGAATATAGTTAGCCGTTTGAGTATTTCTATTGTTGGATAGGAAACTTGCTCGGATGATCTTTTATACCAAATTTAAAAGGAAATTAAGCAATTGGACACCTTTAATTGAGAACTTTTTGGGCCTTCCCCATAAGATGTATTTGGTTATTGAAGTTTACAATCATGTGAAACTTAATTACTCAGATTAAAATGAATATATATATATATATATATATAAAAGTCTGCAAAGCTAATTATTATTTTTTATCATAAGGAAGTACATTCCTCTATTTATGAAGTATTCATAAGCAAAAATTTTACATTCAAAATTATATATTTTTGTTATTAAAAGGTTGGTTAATCCTATTATTTTTGTACATGAAATAATTTAAAATTCTCAAAATTGAAGGAGCCACATAACGCCATAGATCAAGCATCACAACACTACTTTTTTCCCCCTAGTGCCACCTGATCGGTACCGTAGCAATAGAAGTCTCGGATGATTGCTGGAGAATTTAACGACAAGGCGCTACGTAGGGAACTTCACAGTGACAGATCGAGCACCACAATGCCAAATCGGCCTAGTGCAGCGGCATAAGATCATAGTTCAAAACGATTGAACCGATAAATAGATGCGCGCGACGAATGATGAATTGACATGTCGATTCAATAGTACTAGAAAGCTACTAATCAGTGCCAGACCCCAGTTCAGTTATTTTGCAATCTGTAAATAGGAAGCCTATTGCTCATATTACAGTGTTGGATACTTGGAGAGACATGAGGGAGTGTGCGTGAGGGTGTGTGAGGCTGCTTCTAGTGGATGCTAGCCATTTGTACTTGTGTTAGTCCAAGGAATTCTGAGTTATTTCTATTCTTAATTCTTTTATTGTAATTTTATTTTATATATTTTAATGAAGATGTTCGTGTGTTTATTTTTAATTTCATGTATGTCTAGAAGTTTTTATCTGAGCTTATGAGACTTTAAAAATCATATATTGCATATAGTAGATCTATAATTTCATAAATTGATTAATGTTATTTTTAAATCTCCCATGCTTAATTTAGGCTTCATTTGAGACAGCTTTCTTACTTCTTTATAAAGCAGAGTTGTAGTACAAAATATTTTTTTTCAATTTTTTTTTTACTAAATCTCTATTTTATAAAGCAGTACGAAAGCTATCCTAAATGAAGCTTTAGTTTATGTACAGATCTTGCATGAACTTAATATATAGTGTAATCTATGGCCTCGACGGAGTAGTAGATTTAGTGGTTAAGGTTATGAGATTTTAAAGAGATATTAAAACTGTAGTTCAGTGAAATCTTTAGCTAATACTCCAATGAGTTCGACATAGATGAGAAGTACTTATGCTCCGATTCATAGAAATATTAATTAGAAATAATCTATCGATTGTAAGCATATATTTTTAAATATCACACATTAATAATTAAATGAAAAAATAATGGTGATTATATAAATATCATACAATAAAAAATATGTTTGATATACTGTTTTATTTTGTATCAAGATATGACTATATTTTTAACGCATGACTCTAATTTCACGAGTCACTTATTATATGTCAATATAACTAAAATACTAAATATTATCATCTCACAATATAAATAAAAAAATTAGATGATTTAATTAATTTATTTGACTAATACAACTAAACTGTTAAATAGTATAGCGTTGTGAGCGGGTGGTGTTCTAATGATGTTGGTCAAGAGTTGGTCCAATGGTGGTGATCATGCGTTGATCTGATAACAACAATTGGGTGTTGGTTTGATGACAGATGTCGGGCAACGGTTTTGTATTCTATTGATATAGGCCAGGCAGTGGTTTGATCACGATGATTAGTCCTTTTTCTAATGATGATGATCAAACAGTAATCTAGTAATATTGCTCGGGTGAAGTTTCGAAATTCTTAGAGCTTATATGTTCTCTTGAAGCTCAAGTCAAAATCCTTCCCAATCATGTAGAGATGTGTGCTTATTTATAAATGTTTGAGAGTGACATACTCCATAAACATAGCCAAAATTTAAAACTCTCACTCAAACAACCCATTTTGATTCCCTCAAACATATGCTGTTCCTTCATCATTTAAGTCTTAATAATGACGAAATTAACCATTTTTACACTCGTTGGATCCGTCCCATCGAAATACTTGATTTGATTATAATCATATAAGATTCGATAATCATTTGATCATCCAATATTTAATATACAATTACGCTTCACGTGCTTGACTCGACTCATTTTGGACTATTTATATGTATATATATAAGCTTCCACTATTAGCTAAATCATATACAATGAAAAAAGTGGTGCAGTGAAGCCAGTTATTCAAATCTGAACACACAGATGGCTGCTATGCCTCATGAAGGCCTTACTTCAATAAAACTATAGGACAAGAGAAGGTACATCTCTCTTCTGAACGAACTTATATTTTTCTTCTCCATTATAA